GCTTCCTTTCGGAGCTGTAGGGTTGCAAAGCAATCGCATTTTCAAGATGTTAACTATGAGGAACTCCTCAAAAGCAGATGCTTCACATTACATGACTACAGGTAAGTGAAGAATTCGAGAAAAGGCATTGCTTAAGATCTCGATTTCAGACCGGACAATGGGAAGTTCGGTGCCGCAATTTACTCTGCAGTCAATGTCAGTCGTTTATGTATATCTCGCAGTAGCCCTTCATATGTAACTTCTAGGCGCGAACGCCAAAGAAAAACCAGCGAGAGCTCTGATGATTCAAACGTAATCATAATCGTAGTTGCGATACTGATCTTTGTCGTCGCTATTATTATTGCAATCTTCATTATGTTAATGCAGAGAAGAAATCATAAAAGGAAGTTATTGTTGGCAGCTGAAATAGAGAAAGAGGAACAGGAAGAAAGGAAAAGACGACACGCAAGAAGAAAGGTTATTAGAAAACAATAGTCAAAAGTTCGAGCTGACGAGAGCGTTCTTATAGCAGACACCAAAAAGGACACCGAGGAAAAAAAGGGGGCGGCGCAGTCCAAAGTTGCGAAAACTCAGTAAGCCAAAAACCAAGGAGGAGGTATGTTTTTAATAACTTTTGTGGAGAGCAAATTTTACATTTTAGATGATGATGGAACTCACAGACTTTTTGGAAACGCACTCGAAAAAATATAGAACTCCAGATGAAGCGACCATAGGATCTGCTGAACCAACCCCTGCAACGACCCCAGCCGTAACTCCGGGATTGTTAAGCAGTGAAGTGGACGTTTCATTCAAATCTCCACTTGCCTCCCAGTATCCTCGGATTTCCAAGAAACCACACACTCCCGAGGTTTATGAGAAGAAAGTGGTCTATCTTACGCCTTCAACCGAGTGGGGTGAGAAAAGCGAGAAGAAATCGGCGGAAACGCCCTCAGTTCCGGTGACACCTCCGAGCAGATCTGCTTCACCAACTCACATAGAGACGGTCACTAGCGGTTCAAGACAAGCCACACCAAACATAGAGCACGATGAATTGAAAGAAAACAAATCTCGCGAGCTAAGATCTTGGAATCTAGGAAGTGCAGAAAAAGAAGGATACTCAGAAGATAGAGCTTTGGAACCTTGGGAGGAAGAAAATTTGCAGCCTGCAGAGAAAGCAGAAAAAGAAGATGAAGGTTTGCAAAGACCTTCACAAGAGAATATAGCATCCAAGGAGTGAACAGGATAAAAAATGATAATGATGTTACCTATAATCAGAAAATTTCCAAATTACTATATGTAAGATGAATTATAATCAATAAATTCTATTATTTTTTTTCTGGCAAAACTGAAGAGTGCAAATTAAAACTTTGATGATTTCGTTCTACTGCCAAAGAAATGAAAGAGAACGAAAAGGATCGGGAAGAGATAGCGCAATCCAACATTTTCTTCAGTGCATCAAACCATTGCTCAAGATGCTCTTCCTTATCTGCTTGTTTTAAGTAGGCTATACACTTTTAATTTTACCTCGACCCTATCAACTCTCGCTTTCAAAAAAATTGAGCTGATAATCATTGACGATGTTTCTTTGTAAGGACAAGATGAAGGATTCATTACCTTCAGTATATTCTCAGGAAGCATGCGCCGAACGCACTTTACTTCATAATCGAAGAGGCTACTGAATGCGTGCGAATTATTGTGGTGACTTGAGGATGAGTGAAGTAGGGTAAGAGGTGTTGCTATAACCAGATCGAACCCAGATCCCCGCCTTTGGCCAAAGAGCCCTCTTCCCTCCGAGGCCGGTAGCTTGGTACTAGGGTTTGCTCTACAGCAAGGTGTAAATGCCCAAGTCGCGATTGGCTGATATGTGATTGTTAGAGGGCATTCCTAAATGAGGCTGCTGTGATTTTCTTCGCGTGGACTGACTACCTGCCTTGCTGCAAATAGAGAGTTTAAGTGGCAAAATTGCTTCAAAAGGTGGACACAGCAGAGTTATTGCATGTCAACTTGAGTGGTCTGAAAGCACTAATCACGAAGGGTCACGAAGTTGAAATGGCCGAACACAACGGTGCATACTTTTAGTGGGAGCTGCAACGCTAATCC